AACCACGACCTTTGTTTGAACTTGACCGCTCTATGTATCTGTTTCCGTTTCGACTACATACTTCTCTTTGTCCATAAAATTCAGTATAAGTTTCGGTTGCTTCTTATCCTTGGCATCCTTGCCATTGTAGTAGTGTTTGTGTAGTGTCCTCAGATGCTCTGAAAGGAACTCCTCTTTCACATTCACATTTTCGGGCGCTAATGGATAATCCTAATGTTCGTTATGTAGTTCCTTTGGATACTCTAAATCCACTTCCAGTATGTAGGCGTTGTCATCGTTCTCGTTCCAGTCCATTATATTCTTTTCAGTCAGCGTCTTCTTTATCCACTTGAGTTTTCCTATCGGTAGTTTCATTGACATTGCCAGTCCATACAGGTTATTAGCGTCTAAATAGTTGATGAAGTTTCTTTGTTTCATCAAAGTCTTCACCCATATACCTTTGCTTCCTTATGACTGACTTAGCACATACCACCACGAAGCCCCCCTCTCAATCATCTCATACATCTCTTGGTCGGTCAATGGTTCTAACTCCACTCCAGTTTCAAGAAGCATTCGCATCCCAAGCAAAGTTAGGAAGGGTGAGGTAGTGCGCAGGGTCTAGACCGTAGTATTTCTCAAAGACATCAGTGAGCAAAAGAACATCGGTGTTCAATCACAAATCGTGGTATTGTCCAAGATTTCTTATGCCGAAGTTTTCCCAAATTTCTTTGCTCTTTCATAGTCTTCATCCGATATATGTTCTTTGGTGAGATTGCTGTAGAAGGCTTCCTTTGGTGGAAGTTACCTGTCTCGGAACTTGTCAAAGGAAGTGATGTAATCGTATGGATAACCCCTTTGTCGGTGAGTAAGTCCAAATCCTCGTTATTACTGACATAGGGGTTTCGGCTACTGAATTTGAACTTGTCTTGCCAGTGTTTCTTCTGTCCGTCTTAATACTTGCTCAACTTTACTAACTTATCCAACGAAGACGACAAGAAAGAAACACTGTCTTTGAAGCACATATTCTTAAAAGCGAAGGTTATGAACTTTTCACTGTTCTGCGCTATTACATCTATCCTCGCTCTCTCTGACAGTTCATTAGCCCTCTCAATGATTAAATGACTGTCGTAGTTCTTCAGGTTATGTAGGAAAACGGGGATTTTGTAGTATCTCATCGCGAATTGTCTCGGAAAGCCACAAGCAAAAAAAGAATCGCGAATTGTAAATTACAATCTTGATGGGCACATCCCCTATACATACCCGTGAAGTAGCAATGGTCTCTACACTTAACATCTCCTGCCAAGAAGGGATTACCACAAACAAAGCAGTGAGTTGCCAATTGAACATCCCTCGCGTTGTTTCTATTAAATATTATATATTGGTTTGTTTTCTTTCACCTTCTCCATTATTGTATCCGCATTGTATCCTTTACCTCAATCATTTTATTCACGAAAACATCGATACAATCCTCACCTCTGTAAAGGAAAGGCTCTGATGCACCATCAATTGAATTGACAACATTTATCATAAAACGGCAGGGTCTATGATGTTGGTACTTGTCAGTTTTATTTCTTTGGTGCTCACCGTTCCAGTTCTTGAACGGCGCTTTCAGTTTCTTATAGTGATGTTTGAACCTAATGAAGAACTTGTCAGGCTTTGTAGGGTCAAACTTTGGCATCACTACTTTTTGACCTTCAACCGCCATACACCCATTTTCATTGTGTTGGTCTAACAGGCATTCTTCTTCAAAGGGTCGGTGGCAATGACGACATATCCATTTCTTTGCTTTGTGCTTACTTTGGATTTGTTTATACATCAACTTGTTGAAATCCTTGATGAAAACATAGTGGTAGTTGTCTCCATCCTCCAGTTTCAGAAGGTCTATGTGATGAGTGGGATTTAGAACCTTGGACTTTCTATACAGCAGTATGGATTGTTGGCCTTCGTCGGGGTCAATGAAATAGACATTGACTGACACCTTACCTTCGTTGTTTTGTTCAAAGGTGTCTATATCAACATTGCAAGAAGGAAAATTTACATTATCCCAGTTCAGGGTGGTCTTCTTCGTATATCTTATGAACACCGCACTGAACAGAATACATAAAACACTTGTTGTCTTCGTTTTGGATGTTGATACAGGCTTTCTTGCTCTGAACCCATTTAGGTAATGGAAGGAATGAACCTCCCCGAGTTGGATTACAACTTGTCGTAGTGAACCTTAACTTGTCAAACTGACTGAATACTAATCCGCTCTCAATCAATTCCATTCTGTCCGTTTGAAACTCTATGTCGGTTGCTATTTGAGAAAGGACGCTCACTATCTCCTCTGCGTTGGTGATTTCATATCTTCTACTCCTTATAGTATGCCTAATATCTTCGTCGGTCTTCTTGCTTTTGAATGTCCCGTATGCTTCCATCAATATTTTCATATGTTTGTTCAGGTATTCCTTCAGTCTTTGGTCTTGGTATTTGAGATACTGAAGGGCTTTAATGCCCTTGACTTTGATATTGCTGACGGAATATGAATTCACATAGTTCTTGAAAGCAGATCGTTCGTCAGTGATGTCGGCTTTGAACCTCTTTTGGATGCTTACCAGCGCTTTGTTCTTGTCCAGTCTCGTCCATTTAACACCTCGCTTTGTCTCCAGTTCGTACTTTTTGTATCCCATAGTTTGTTTAACAGTTGTGAGTTTTCGTTTCAGTCTGTCGGTGAGTGGTTTTGTCTTGTCATAGTTGTAGGTCTTGTCCCCTATCTTGAGTTTCTTTAGTTCTCTTCGGTTCTGTTTGAGGACTTCCCCCTTTTTGGAGGTCAGTAGGTAATCTAATACAATCTGCTCTGAACGACTTGTCATAATAGTAAGGTCTATATACTATTCTTATCATTATTGTTATTTCCATTTTTATGCGATGTTTCTTTAAGTAGGATTTGAGGTATGGTTGGTGGGTCTTTTGACGGTTGAGGGTTGTGTTGGTGGTGTTGGACTTCATCATTAAACCGCTCTGTTTCAATGTTCAACCGAATATCATCTGCCATATACTCCTTACTATATAAGGTGGCAAATCTTTATGTAGTTTTGGGCTGGTGGGGTTCAGGCTTTGGGGACTTGGGTTGAACCTCAACGCTTCATCAATGGCGACGGTTGCTCATACACACGTTGGTTTGGCGGTGTTTTGACAAATTGGATTTTGACGAAATGGTGCGTCCGCACTCGGAACACTTGAACGGAATTTTCAGTGTCTCTTGATAATAGGTATTGAAGTAATCTTCATCTAAGGGTCTCTTGTCGTAAGTTCCGTCGGGTCTCCAACGAGTGTTTGCTGTGGGTGTGTTTTTTGGTGTGCTTGGTTGATTGAGTGCTTCAACCATTTGGTCAAAGATGTCTTCATCCATTTCTTCCTTTTTCCGTCAATATACAAAAAAAGAGCATGTTTCTATCTTAATTCTATTAGGCGCCTTTTTCTTTAAGTGTTTTTAGGTGTTCTGTTGATAAGCGAGGGATTGGGCATAACACTTCACGAAATCTTCACTTATGAATTCCTGCCACTTCCTACGAAATCCAGCACTTTAGAATTTACTGTTCCTGCCACACTTGAGCCAACTAGATACTATACAACCATATAAACAGTCAGAATGACACAGTATGGGTTTGCTTGTGGGGTCTCTTTGCCACCGATGCTCCCCGATACAGAGCCACCCCGACTGAAAAAACATACTCCAACCATCTTTTATATATATATATATATTTAAATCAAAATAAAACGATACAAAAATCTTGGGTAGGTAGTGAATGTGGGGGGTCGCGTTTGGAAATCCGCTCCCCCACCAACACTTACTCCTCCCTTCAACGTCATTTTTTTGCACAAGTTAAAAAAAAACAACGCCGACGCCCACGCATCCCCCGACCCCCTGAAGTGGATGAAGGCCTCCCTTCTGACCAAGCAGGACGAACGACAGAACAATAGATAGGTAGATAGATAGAGAGATAGACGTATAATGTATATATATATAGGTCAATCCAATCTACGATATATTTAGTGAATTTAGTGGAAGAGTGTTTGCCAAATGTCAGAACCCCCATTTCACCATTTTTCCCCCCCGCGTGCGCAAAAAAACATGAAATTACTTTACTTCGAGTGATCCCCACCATGACATTCATACATCTTATTTGGCATATCTTCTTGCATTCTATCTGGCAACCTATCTAGCATGCTATCTGCCATTCAATCTGCCATTCTATCTGGCAATCTATCTGACATACTATCTGGCATACTGTCTGGCATACTATCTGGCATACCATCTGTCATTCTATCTGGCATATCTTCTGGCATTCTATCTGGCATTTTATCTGGCATTCTATCTGGCATATTTTCTGGCATTCTATCTGGCAATGTATCTAGCAATCTATCTGACACACTATTTGGCATACTACCTGGCATATCTTCTTGCAGCATTCTATCTGGCAATCTACTTGGCATTCTATCTGGCATTTTATCTGGCAAACTATCTGGTTGAGGTCCAGCGGTGCACACTGCGATCGGATCCTTGCGGTTGAGGTCCAGGGGTGCACACTGCGATCGGATCCTTGCGGTTGAGGTCCAGGGGTGCACACTGCGATCGGATCCTTGCGGTTGAGGTCCAGGGGTGCACACTGCGATCGGATCCTTGCGGTTGAGGTTCAGGGGTGCACACTGCGATCGGATCCTTGCGGTTGAGGTCCAGGGGTGCACACTGCGATCGGATCCTTGCGGTTGAGGTCCAGGGATGCACACTGCGATCGGATCCAGGGATGCACACTGCGATCCGGAGCTTGCCAGACAAGATCGGCGAAGCAGATTGGCGAAGCAGATTGGCGAAGAACATTGGCGATGAAGATTGGCGAGGAAGGGAGGAAGGAAGGAAGGAAGGCAGGAAGGAAGAGGAAGAACAACTGTGATAAAATGTAACAACCCTCACCTGGCAGGTGGGGAAAAACACATCTTGTTGCTGCTAATCACTTCGTTAAAAACGTGAGACTCGTCGCCTCAAAGCCCAAGCGGAAGACCGAGATGGTTTTCAACCACACGAAGCCCGGCGGCACTGCGTCGAGGTTCATGAAAAGGCCTCCCAAACAAATCAAACACATATTGAAATATAAAAACAAATAGAGTTTATATAGAATTGAATTGGAATTAAGGCCTCCAAAGAGCATTTGGGGCATGATGTTCAAGAGCACCACCAACCTGAAATACAAGCGACATATTGCTAACATAGTAGTTCAGCTTCAGTAACCATCTAGGAACCAAATCATTAGCGCGAGCTGTCGGTAGGAGCGCCCCGTTCCTACTAGCTGCCTCTCTCTACTGGCTGGCTGCCTACCTCACCTCCTAGCGGCCTAACTACTCTCATCCTTGTTCCTAGTAGCAATGCCAGGAGCCCCTAGTAGCGTCTTGTTTCTAGTAGTACGGCCAGGAGCCCCTAGTAGCGTCCTTGCTCCTAGATGAACACACGCATATATATTGTGAAATTGGTCCCGGCCCCGACGGCCAACGGCGTTTTCACGTCACGTAAGCGCGGTAAGCAGCTCAAGGTCCCTGTAAACCCAAATGGCAGCAGACTCGAATCTACCATGGACAGAACTCGGCTGTACACAACATACCAACAACAGGGACAATTCACACTCAACCTGTTCTTCGAGTCTGTCCGGGAGCTATGTACAATCTGCCATCTAAACAGGAATTTCTACAAGTAGTACCGTAGTGCGTTCTGGGTTCAAAGGTAGTGAAACTTCTCTTCTTCAGCAAACCTATGCTCTTCTACGAATCATCGTACTGCTCGTGGTTTCTCTTTGTTCTTGTCAACTTGGTAGATGCACTACGGCTTCATGCTCTTTGTCAAACAATCGCTCAGCAACGTGTGAGCGCTGATCCAGTCAAGACGATCTCCTCCGTTCGGGAAAATGCTCCAGGTCCTCTGAGGTCCCTGCCACAAGTTCTCATGAACTCAATCCTGCGTCGCTTATCAGACACCTTGGCAAGTGTCTCTGCGTTGAGGCGATCGCAAAGCGAACGGCAATCCGAATATTTTGCAAATGCGGGACACAGGATCGCATGATGGATTCCGAGTCCTTGCGGCATTGCGGCTGTGCAAACATCCCTTCGTCTCAGCGATAAGGGCACGGATTTTGTCTCCGCTCTCTATACCGGATTGCAACGAATATGTCTCGGCTTGGAGCGTCGAACGACACACTCTCTTGATAGTCGTGGACGAAAAGCCTACTGGCAGCACATGGTAAATGTACATATTCTCATCTTTCATCTGCTCCACATTGGCCAAAAGGTGCGCGCGCCCTTGCTGCGACTTGAAAACCTTTCTCATTGCAGAATGAAGCGTCTGTCACTGTGATGATACCAACATTGCGCCAATCGGTTGTCTTCAAATGCTCTCTGCGAAATTGAAACACGACATCTTCAAGTGGCTTGTGTGCCATTCATGCAATAGTCCAACGGTCGCGCCGTTGATCGCTGTTTGGAGATAACTGACGCGGTACGCCAAATCAGGGCGTCCCTGTCTTGCTACCCATGCCAGCGAGCCAACAACAGATCTCAACTTCGTGATCTGATCTGGGCTCAACTTATCTGACAATTTCTGGCTGCTGTCCACTTTGATTTTCTTGATCGTTCGGGTGTTATCGTTTGTGTGCATCGTCAACGTAGCGTTCTGTTCACCAAAAGCTTTACCGCAGTAGCGGAAGGTCGTGTGCTCCAATGAACCTAGTTCATAGGCACCTAACAAAGACTCCATCACTTCTTTGCTTCTGGAAAAAGCGCAAAAAGCTGCTGTGCAACAAGTCATCGACGTGCGTTGTCAGCATGGCGACCCATCGGTTCTCCTCATCAAGCTTGTAAAAGAATGCAGGGTAGATGATGCTTGGCGTAAGCCCGGCCTTCTTGGCCAAAATGATCTTCCACTGTCTGTGAGCCCGTGCACGGGAACTCGTACCAACAGTGCGGCGTCGGGGTCGACTTGAGGCAGTCCGCCTCGACTCGTGGCTGCTGCAATAGAAGTACTCGATCCAATGGCTCAGACTGGAAATAAGCGCTATCTCCGGTCGGAGAATCAGAGCGAATCCCTTCGGTCTGCTCAAGGTTTCCGCGCGACACTAATCGGCTCTTCCACTTCGGCCGATAGTCAGGTGTGTGTTTCTTGAACGCATTCTTGTCTACATGGACATTTGCTGGGAATGATGACATGTCCTTGCTTCAACAATGCGTCTTTCTCGGCTCCCTCCTCACAACAACGGCTTCGACATGAAGGAATTTCTCCCATTCCTTTTCCATTGCCTTGCGAAGCCCTTCATGGGTCTGGCGACGCTGTCTTGAAGTCAATGCTGCGAAGCACTCGTCATTGTCTTCAGTTGACTGTGCCAAAACCCTGCTGCCAAACTGGCAGTTGTCGAAGGATCTTGCTCTGCAAGCTGCGAAGCTCTTTCCAAATGTTGTCGGATTGAAAGCGGCAAATCATCCAGATTGCTTGCTACATTCGGCCATGATGCTGAAGTCTCACTTGATGATCTTCTCGAATCTCGAGATGGCTCTGACTCCGGGTCTCCAGCCTCGTGATGCGGCAGAACTTGGAGTCTCATCGAGATCTCCGGCATCTTGACTGATATCTTCTCCTTCTTCTTCTCCTTCAAGAATTTCGCCAAAGGCTGATCTGCCAGATGTGTTCTTCATCCTCCGGAACAGGCGGCAGTCGTTCCGGCGAATAGGATGGTCCTTCTGCAGCAGGCTGAGGTGGCTCTGATCATGGCCTCTCATGCGAGCATCTAGGAATGATTGCTGACTTGTAACTTGTACCTTCTACAATCTCGCCTGGAACAATTGGAATCACCATACAAAATGCTAAGTGCTAAGGCCCCCCGGATGCGGTCGCTGGTCTGACGTTTTGGGCGGCTACCAAAACAGGAACATTAACTACCACAAAGCAACCATAGATTCTTCTGACCTTTTTGACCTATGACTCTTGCGGCGACCATTGAGTACCTCCACGCTGATTGTCCCTACGAAACACAACTGAAACTCCTACCGAAGCCTGGTGTTGCAGTGCAAAGATGCTAGCAGGATCATACTTTGCTTCAATGGCTCCTAGCTGTGCCCATTGCGCTTCTAACACAACGCTTGGGGCTTCTCGAAATCCCTTGCCTAAAGCCCATCAGCTTGGTGAACTCGATTCTGCTCATTCTTCACCATACAGGCTTGAGACAAAGCGGTCTCAACCTGTTCTCTGCCTTGAATTTAGATTTCATGGCAAATCTTGCGATGCATGCCTTTGAGCAATCCTCCACGCCTCTCAACACGACCAATCCCTTCAGGGGATTCCAGCGGGGTGTGAAAAACAGAACTGGTGTGCTCATCCATGTACTCTTGCAAAACCCCTCGATTGTGCAACCCTCGATCGCAAATGATCTGTACGGGGTGCCCAGCCCACGAAAAACATCTATCAAGCAAAGCTTTCAGCCACGTACTCGATGAACATTGGCCTAGCCCTTGCCTCACAACGTGTGCCAGCTGGAATGTGGTTCCAACACAAACCATGTTCAAAACTTGCAACTTGGCGCCATCGATGTCAATCACCTCAAACAAATCAATGCCCAGGGTGTGATTGAACCTGTAATCCCATGGCAACCGAATCTTGTGCGTTGGCCGTTTCTTGTTGGTGTCTTCAGACGTTTGGCAACGATGCAATCGAACGGCCTTCACAAAGTCTTCATGTACCTTAGCTGCGCGGAGAACGTTGATCAAAACCTTGCGAGGAACATGACCAAACTGATGGTGTAGACGTCTCACACCAATGCGGACTCTCTGAGGAAGTTTGCGGCGCTGGCGACGCCTCTCAGACTCCTCAGGAGTCACTAATAGTGATGGCCTGAGAGCCTAGATCGTCTCCAAAACCAGTCGCGTGCAAGTTCTTCATGATAGCCTCATCCAAAGTTGATGGCGCTCGACGAAGGAGAGCCAGGTGCACGTTGAATGCCTCAAGTTGACCTGCGTGTCCGACGTGTCCCCTGGTTGTGTGAGGATATGTTCCTGCCTTGGATTTGCCGCGGGAGATTGTGCCCTCAAAAGAGTTGTTGTAGTCCTGGGATGTCAACTTCATCCAACAAGGTCTCCTCCTCAATCAACTTAGGAACAGGGTTGATAGTTCCAACTTTGAAGGTATGCCGGGACGGATTGATTGGCAGGAGATTTTCGCCCCGCATGTTTTCATTGTGGTTGCTATTGGATTCTCAGGAAATGAGATCGCTTTAGGACGTGCAAGATTGCTTCATGAACTAGAAACGCATGCCGACTCGGATGACCGGACCCGCTTTTTGCATATCGATTCATCCACCACAACAAGATGGGAACAGCATGTCTCACCGCAGATTCCATTCATGACTGATCATTTAGGTTTTACGCGTAACGATGAACAAGTCCAAAAGAGCTTTGAAGCTTGGAGCCAAGGCAAAACAATGGACCATGTACTGCCTTCAGACATGGGTTCGCGGTTGAAAGATTTGCTTCACGGTTTGACAGTGACAGATTTGCTGTCGACTGCATTCCCCGCTTTCGTGCAGGAAGAATGTGTGGGGCACCTCCCAACCATGGATGTTGTGGAAGGAGAGCAAGATGTAGACTGCGACAGGGGTGACCGGCATCCAGGACGTCAAAGCCAGTCTCCGGGAAAACAGACGGATGGCCAGTGACAATGCAAACTGTGGGGGGGATTGGCATCAACCGACTTCAAACCGCAAGATATTGCACACAGTGGCCATGGGTGCTCAGGTTCTCTAGTCCTTCCACGACTTGCTTCCGATGCTTCCTACCCAAAGTGGTTCTCTCTTCGGGCGCAATTGCAACAAATGCAGCCGTGAGGTCTGCTTCTGGCGATTCGTTTGCTGATGGCAGTTCAAAATCATCTTCCTTGCTAATTGGTGATTCCACAACATCTGAATCACTCGGGTCCAAATCAATAGTACCCACGAATGCGAAAGGTTCGAAACATGCGAGGTTACCACATGGGGTTCTTGCACATGTCGGCAACGAATCGGCTGTGGTGGATTCGGTATCCGACGACGAATCTTCAGTCTTAGCAAAAACCCTTGGCAAAACCTCTGCTTAAGGCGACCTAGACTGTTCCTCCGGCATTCGACGGTGGATACGAGAAGGTGATCTGGCGCAGCCAGCTGTAGTCATTCTGGGTGCGGCGCTCGGCACTGTCCAGGTGCTTGGTCATGATCCATGGACCAGGAGGTGTGCCTCACGAAGGTCGTCTTCAACCAGTTCTTCATTGTCGACTTGTTGAACGGGACGAAACTTGTAATGCGTCCTCCACAAATCCGGATGTTGATCCTCACTCCAGGGAAATCACTTGTCACTTGAATCACACAGATCTTCAGAATTCGAATCCGGAAGCCAAAACATTATCCATGTCGACGTGCGAGACTTACCAACTCATCCATGTGCCCGTCCATCACCTCTGACGGATTCACTCTGCGTCTGCGTCGTGAGGTCGAGCAACAACCTGTGGACAAAACTTGCCAGCCCAACTGTCAGTCTGTGAAGTTCCTGCACTGTCAACGCACTCACGAACCTCGCGGACAATCGGCTCATCAATCAAGTCTTGCCTCGGCTTGTGTGCCATGGCCTTCTTGGGCGTCAAACTCTTTGGCGACTGAGCTTCTTGTTTCCAATGTGGCTCAACCCAGCTTTGTCCACCCACCTTTCATCGTCCTGCTATAGTCATGCCAACCTTTCCATTCCTGGTCAGCATGCTCATGTTTCGATTGGCTCCGATGCTCTGGACGAACGCTCTGCCATGGTGCTGCACCAATCGGCCTTGCAGATTTTCCAATCGGCTTTGATGGCGCACTGGGAGGCATGATGGCAAACTGCGGTCCCACTAGATTGCCGTGGAACGATCTTTGTTGGGCTGGGCTCCTCTTCGGCGATCTCTTCCTCGATCTCGAGTTTCGTCGACTTCTCGATCGACGGCGGCCCCTGCGCGGGGTCCTTGAATTGCTGGTGCAGCTCCTCGAACGACGTCTCCGACGTGGCGTTCGCGGCCTCTGGTTTGAGCTCAGCAGGTTCTGCCTTCAACTGCTTCTTCGGCATGTTCTCAATTATATAATTATGACATTTGCAAGCTTCTCAAATGTGGCTGTCAACTCTGGCAGTTCGAAGGTGAAGTCTCTTCAACTTGCTCTTCGGTCTCTGGAGTCCGTCGGGATCTCTCAGTCAGTGACCTATCAGTGCAGGATCTCTCTGACTCACTGAGTAGTCCCTCTGCTGTACCGTGAGCTCGAGGAATGATCTTGGATGGCCTTGGTGTTTCCTCTGGCGGAGGTGGTGGTAATGGTGGCGCAGGTGTGACGTTCAGCGTGTTGCGAATCGACTGGAAGTGCGGCCATATTTGGATCCATCCAAAGTTCTTGCACGCCTCCAAGCTCTTGGTGATCTGACAGTCATTGCAAGCCCCTCCGCAGCGCCTCTCGCGCCAATGCTCAGATGCACCAGCACCACGCCGTGCCCCATCTCAACTGACATCGCGGCGAGGCACGATGCTCCGCCAACTGATCTATGGCGGCCACCGTTGCAACCAACTTTACTTCAACTGTGCACCCACCATTCTTGGCATACTTCTCGATGAAGTCTTTGGCGTTGCGAAGATGTGAGCGGCCGTTGACTTGTCCCTTGAGGGATCATACAATTTGCGAAGATCAATGCGCAAAATGGGTCGTTTTCCGACAGCTCCTGTAGGACAGCATGGACTCTCCGGCTTGGCGTGACAAAGGGCCTCCGTGCTTCTGGCCAGCACGGAACAACTCCTTCGCCTCCTCATTTGGCACGTGGGAATACGACAGCTTTCATCTTGTGCAACAAGTCTTCGAACCCTTCCTCACTGGTCAGGGCATCAAGACCGACGCCCCTGCAGAGCAAAAGGCATCTCCACGCAAACCTTCGAGGATCTTGTTCACAAGAATGCCTGGCTTGGTGATGACTACTTCCTCTTTTCTTCTTCGTCTTCTGGTCCGACAGGAGGGAAACCTGGGAGCTCAGCGTCCTCCTCAGTACCTCCATTGGGCATATCACCCTTCTTCGGTTGCCGACGGGGTACTTTCCCGGGAGCTGGCCTTCGGCTTGTTGTTCTCCTTCCACAAGCGAATGCGAAGGCGAGTGCGAAACTCCCAATCATGGAATCATGCGGCATCACCATAGTAGATGTACGAACCAGATTTGGTCTCCAAATGGGTACCGCCTGCTGAGTTCTTGTCGGGATAAAAGCGAAGTCCTGCGACCGACATTTCCAGTCTGTCTCAACGGGCAACTTCAAGAACACTTGGTTGCAAATTCTCGGCGCGCATGCACGAACGAATCCTGGATCGGCGGATTTACGGGTTCCGGATGCAGTGGCACGAACCCGAACCAATGTGAAATTGGTCCCGGCCCCGACGTCCAACGGCGTTTTCACGTCACGTAAGCGCGGTAAGCAGCTCAAGGGCCCTGTAAACCCAAATGGCAGAAGAATGTACGATGGACAGAACTTGGCTGTACAATATTTTTTCGAACTTGGCTTGCAAACGCCACAGTCCGCCGCTTCGCGCTCTTGCCAAAGCCACATGCCAATGGCGGCCACAGGTGCAGCATAGCCGCCCAAGTAACCAATACCGGTGGCCACCTAACAGTTCGACACAAGGTGAGTATAGTCAGTCACCAGGTTGACGCAGCATTTTTGCGAGTGTGCAAAGCGGTAGCGGTGTCTCCGCATGTATCCCCTATGGCCGCTTCGCTTGAGAACGCCAGCTTCAGTTTGTCAATGTGAGAGGCGATCTTGCTCCTAGTAGCGTCCTTGTTCCTAGTAGCGATGCCCTTTGCTCCCACACATGGGACTGGTCCGGTGTGGATGTCAAACGCCGAGCGCGTGAAAGGCATTTCATCCATTTCCACTGAATCCCATGTGCTCGCACTGAAAAAACAACCGTTTGACAGGACGAGTGCAAGGAAAAAACATATAGAAAAAACTGCATTGGAGAAGCAAAAGAAAAGGATAACAACACCCGGGCCAATTATTGACAAAGTTGTCTGCCAAGAATGTGGTGAAACAAGACTCGTCTATTCAGAAGTCTCCATCGCCATCCTTCGTGCTCCTAATAGTACGGCCAGGAGCGCCCCTAGTAGCGTCCTTGCTCCTAGTAGCTTCTTGCTCTCCGAAAATTGGTCGCACCTAAATCCGATGGCCGTTAAACACAGCAGCGAAGATGAACATTTAACATGGAACATGTAGCACATCCATGCACGATCACAAAGATCAACCTCAACAGGCAGCGCAGCACCGTTATCGCATGGCCATCGCTAGTAGAAACGAAACAAAAAGGAAGAAAGGTACCGCTATTAGAAACTGTGATTCATGAAGTACAGAGTGCACAAACCGAAAAGTGTACCACGTCTTCACTGACCTGTTTCGTAGAAAGCCAAGCGCTACGAAGGTCTAGACACCAATCCGGTGTCACATGCTGATTTGGCTCAAGGATCGGAAAAGCCCGACGCACTGGGCAACCCCTGTCATAACCACAGGTTATGAGCCCAAGGTGAACCGTTTTTTTGATTTTCCAAGTCCACCCCCTACCGCTGGGTGAACGGAGGGGTTGCTGGTCCCCATGGAGCAGCGGAGGCGACGCCAACAGAGGTCGCGAGAGCGGAAAGAAGCTGCGGCCCCGCTGGAAGTCGGAGCTGCAGATCGCCGGCTGGACGCCTTGATCGAGGAGGAGATGAAGGCGAAGGCGGCAAGGGCGCAATCAGTGCTGGTGGGAGCGGCTGAGGTGAAGCGGCTGGGAGTGGCTGCTGGCGTGGGCGGTGGCCATGGAGGTCATTCGGCCGCAGCGGCATCGAGTGGCCACCAGGGACCACCGGAAGTTCGACAGCTGTTGAATGACCCAAGAGGCCAAGTGATGGGGCTTGGGCATTTGCAGGAGGCAGTTCGGCAGTCATTTGAAGTGTTGCAACATGCTCTTCAAAGGCCAAGTTCCCAGCCGACCCTACTTGATCCTCTTCTTCGGCCTGGTGATCAGGGAGGTCATGCCGGTACCGGATGTGGAGTTCTCCCAGGGCACGGGCTGGCGGCGGGCACTCCATTGCGGCAGAGCGGAGTGGAGATGGAGCGCATGGGGACATCACCATATATGGCTGGAGCAGGGCGTGATGATCTACATCCTCGAGTGCTGGAGCCTTATCCTACCACTCCGGTGGGACCATTGGGGACAGTGAATCCCTTTTGGAGCGCTTCCGTGCAGCAAGCGGCCAAGGGTGAGTCACATGTCCGTGAATCTGAGGTGGCTAGGGGCCAACATCCTGCACCAAGTCCAGGTCTGGGACATGTTGAACGTCTTCGAGAACGGAGGCCGAGGAGACCTTTGCTCGGGAGGTGAAGAAGATGACTGACGCTGGAGATTCGGCATCATTTACTTCGGTGCTGAGTGCGAAGGCGGAGGGACCGCCAGAGCCAGTGGGGGAGCATACTAAGCTTGGTGGACCACCTGACACTCCTCCTGGTCTTGCTCCAGTACATGATCCTCGAGGTCATGGAAGTGGATTGAATGGGGCGGTGAACGTGATGAAGCCGCTGGATTCGGTGACAGCTGCACTGCCTGAGGCAATGCGGAACCTGGAGTTGCCACAATTGCCATCACCTTCAACTGAGAATGCAGCCTTGCTTTTTGGAGACTGGCTGACGGTGATCACTCCGTTGATGGGAGACCTCAGTACGTCGTCTAGAGAGTTTTGGGATTGGGTGCAACGAGAGGTGGAGGTGAAATACAATGAATGGCTTTTGGCGACACCATTGGGACGGTTGAGAATCAAGGTGGAGGAGCAGGTGTCCCCACGGTTCCAAAGATTGGATCAGCGGGCGAGTTCAACCTTGCTGGCAGCGCTTCCGGAACCGGTAAGAAAGGACATTGTTGCAAGTCGAAGGGTGGCTACTCAGGCGATCTTGTACAAGCTCTTCACCATCTACCAACCTGGTGGAAATGCTGAGAGGGGCAATTTGTTGCGCAGCCTGACGGAGGTGAAGTGCGGCAGCTCCATCCAGGATACATTAGGCGCCATTCGAACTTGGCGCAGGTGGATTTGTCGAGCGGAAGAACTGCATGTAGCGATCCCGGACTCGATGGTCTTGATTCAGGCCTTGTCCAAGGTTGCGGAGAACCTCACGAAGCATGGAGGAAGCCAAGTGGGATTCAGAATTGCAGCGGCTCGGCAGGAACTTGAGGTTGATCGGAGGCCCACGCTGACCACCACCAAGGAGTTTGCAGAGTTCCTCCAAGCAGAGGCGGAGGATCTGGCTTTGACTATGCCGCATCCGTCGTCATCCAAGACTATCAGGAGCAGTCCTTCAACCGGTAGCTGGAGCTCAGCCGACTATCAAGGCTTTGGGGGGTGGAGTTGGCGGTGGAGAGGGACAGCCAAAAACGAAACACGCATGTCGCTACTGGGGACTACGGCTGGGTGCAAGCGGGGTGAGTCCTGCACATTCGCCCACTCCTTGGAGGCAGCAACAAGTCAGACAGGTGTTTCCATTGGTGTGGGGAGAACCACTTTGCGAAGGACTGTCCATATGGTCGAGAACGACCTGGGAAGGATGGAAAGAAGACGGCCAAGTTGAAGGGGAGTGGAAAGGCGATGGTGGAGAAGGAGGAGTCTGGCCCAGGTGATCAAGGAAAGCCAGGCGCTACTTCATCGACGAGCTCTATGTCCATGTCTACCAGGCCGACGTCAAGTGGTGGAGAAAAAGGACGGGATGGTGGAGCTGAACCAGAAAAGAAGGGTGATCCTGCATCGGAGCTAATCACCGAGGCCACATCCCTTCTGAAGTCTCTCCGAAGCATGAAAACATTCAGATTGAAGCAGATCAATGTGGCAGAGTGTGACGAGGGGCAGGAGCTTGCACTACTAGATGGTGGAGCTACTCACCCATTGAGAATGGCGCGACAAGAGGAGCGAGGGAGGTTGCAGCCTGTCACGGTGGAACTTGCCCATGGCTGTACGACATTGTACAGACACCCGGACTTTGACACTCTCTTGTCGCTGGAGCCGGTGGAGCCGATCTTGCCGTTGAGTCTGCTTGTGGAGAATGGGCATGCCATTCACTGGACGGGACAGGGTTGCACGATCATGCACCAGCAGCTGGGAGCTGTGAAGCGTTGGTTGAGGTCGGGGTGCCCGGTCATTAACCGTAAGGATGCTATGGTGATGTTGGCTGAGTTCGAGGAGAACCAGAAGAATCGAAAGAAGCTGTCCCAAGCGGACTGGAATTGGTGGCGCAGCATCATGCCGGACGTGCCGGAGGACGTGCTGGAGATGATGGTCGGGTTCTCAAGTGAGCCGAACCCAGAATTGCTGCCTTGGAGTAGACGTCAGAGGCGCCGACATCAACGAAGTCGGGGCTTGGTGATTCACCTTTTCTCTGGAGCTGATACAGGGAGGTGGAAGGGTACTTTGCCGGACGACATGGATTGGATCTTCTTGGATCTGGAGTTGGGGGATGGCTTCAACGTGCATAATGCGAATGTGTGGAGCTATGTGTGCTCGCTGGCTCGATCCGGGAAGGTGAAGGGAATTGTTGGAGGTCCGCCCTGCCGTACCACAAGCAGATTGAGGTGCAAGGGGCCCCCAGGACCAAGGAGGGTGAGAGGCCGTGGCTCTGATCGCTGGGGATTGGAGGGGCTAACCGCCCGGGAGCGTGAGCAGGTGCGAGGGGATTCCGCACTGGTGGTGAAACAGGTGGGGCTATGGCATCTTGCGGAGGAGCATCGTGAAGGACCTGAGCCGGTGGCATTTCTTCTGGAATCTCCGCAGGACCCCGCTAGCTATGTAGGAGATGGAGTTGAAGCCGGACATGATCATCCATCCATCTTTCTTTGAGTGGCCATTGTTGAGGAGAATGGTGGAGTACGGAATGAGCTTGGTGAGCTTCGACCAAGGAAGAACGGGGCACTCCAGGCGAAAACCCACGAGTTTGCTGACCAACCTTCGTCACCTGGAAGACCTGGATGGACTCAGGGGAGGAGGATCGGCGGACCCGGTGGAGGGAGGGTTACAGGAGAGAATGAAGGCATCTCGTTCGTGGGCAGGATGGTCGAGTGGTCTGGTGAAGGCTATTGGGTTGGCCTTGAACCTCCGGTTTGGGGGGGAGGGCTCACATCGGTCTGGCCAAGATGGATGTGGATGAGTGGAAAAGGCATATCAATCAGGAGCACGTTCCCTATACAGGAGAGATTGTCGGGATTGTGTGGAAGCGATGGGTTTCTCCAGCCCACATCGGCGATCCAGAAACGCCTCTTCGGCCTTCGTGATGGCGGTGGACATCATGGGTCCTTTCGAACAAGGGAGATCTTGGATTGAACCAGTGGTGCAAGTATGTGATGGTGGCGACAATCCCGGTGCCGATTGTGAAGGATCTGGCTGGGGCACCAGAGGAACCACTGGACCATGAGGCGGAGGTCAAGGATGTGGTGGAGATTGAGGAAGAGAAGGAGTGGAGCTGGCTACAGAGGAGCAAGTGGGTGAGCTCAACATGAAGGCTGCGCTGGAGCGAGCTCAGGAAGAGGTTCCTCTTCAGAACCTCACGATTGCAGAGCCAATGCAATCTCGAGCGGTGGAGGACATCGTGCAGGCGCTCTC